AAAGTGTATGTTTTCTGGTTTTGACGTGGCTCCATTATTCGACTACGTTTATCTTTGGAATCCCTTTCCTTGGCTTTGTCTACTTGTTTATCCTACCTTCTCCTATCCTTGACTGGTTTCCAGTTATCCTTATATTCTATTAGGACTATATTCTATACTCCTTACGTTAAGCTCTCTAAGGGCCACTCTAAGGTCCGGTAATACGAGTTGTATCTATTTAAGTATTAGTTGCCTTTTGCTTGCATATTGAGGTAGTAGTTTGACAACTTGTAGTCCAGTTATCAGTTTTCTACGTATGAATAATGTGGGCTGAACTGCACTTCCAGAAACATTTGCTGTTCTTCCTGTTAATATTTACAGCCATGTTTGGAGAATCAATGGATGTTATGAGGGAGGAATAGAAAGAACAGGTTATGGAACTATCACTGCAGTACCCTCACAAGCAATACATGCAAGTTATATTAGTGTCTGGAGAGTCCTTTTAATTGTTTGTGCATTCTCAGGGTTCTGTACTAACTGGACAAAGTTGGTGCAGGACTAATGCTGGGTAAGTCCGTTTATGCTCGTGGAATTAAACGGGAGATGTCATCCTGGTTTACATATGCAGTATGCATTTTTAGTTCTCTCGTATGGGCAGAAATTCCCTGAAGAAGCCTTTTGCAGCGTTAGCTAATTTAATAATGAGCTTGTGCTGAGTTTTATGCGGTCTCCAATGGGACAAAGACACAAAATTGTGACTGACTGTCTTACAGACTGTTGTAAAAATATGTTTTCCAGCATACTGCTCTTAAACACAATTAAAAAGAGGGCTCAGAACTGATTGAATATCACTTCCCAACTGTCAATGATCCATGACTGATGTCCTTTGTGCCGTATTTTTGTATCTTGCATTCACAATAAAAATTGTTGTTGGAAAAAAATAAAAAAGAATGCTTAGCTCCTGAAGTCTGGCTTGGCACTATACGCAACGTAAACCCACGTAGTCGTATAAATGTGACACTTTTTTTTTCTAATTTCAAGAACGCTCATAGACACTATAGAAAAATAACCTTTGCCACAGGATAACAATGGGTGACAAGTAGTGCCCAAAATATATATATATATTTTTAGGGGGGTTTTTTTACCCTTAACCAAGATTTATGATGAAATCAATGGGGATTGAACATTTTAGGCCTTTATTTTAAAATTTGCCTATTTTGTACTTTTTATACACTAATCAGCCACAACATTAAACCCACCTACATAATAAAGTGTATGCCCCCCTCGTGCTGCTAAAACCAGCTCTGATGCATCAAGGCGTGGACTCCACAAGACCTCTAAATGTTTACTGTGGTATCTGGCACTGAGAGTTTCGCAGCAAGGCTTGCAAGTTGAGAGGTGGGGCCTCGGTGGATCGGATTTGTTGTTCCAGCAAATCCTACAGATCCTCGATTGGATTGAGCTATTTGGAATTTGGTGGCCAAGGCAGCACCTTGAACTCTTTGTCATGTTTGTCAGACTTTTGCTGAACAATTTTGCAGTGTGGCAGGATGCATTATCCTGCTGAAAGCAAACTCTTAGAATGAATGGGGCACACTGTCTGAAATACAAAGCACGGGTTGAAATATGGCATAATATAACCTAGTTAATTGAGCTTGGATCTGTTTTTACCTACCATGCCATAATACTATGGATTACCTTACCATATTGCTCCTTCACTCTCAAAGCTTCCATGGTGTAACTCATGTCTCCTAATCTCATCTCCTGTTTAGTGTTGCCTCGCATGGGTGAACAACATTGACCCAAAATTTACACCAGCTTGCAATATAATGTGTTCTGTTCTCTAACCCCTTACTATATGGTCATTCTATGTATCTTTTTCTTTCTTTACTTGGTCCTTCCAAACCTGCTTTCTTTTATTCAATTAACGGAACCCTTTGTCCTCAGTATTTTATCCCTGACACGTATCTCCCTTTCTCCCAAAAGGATCTTTTAATTGTAGATGTTGAGTTAGCTGTCCCTGGCCTCAAAACCTATATTGCTATGTGTGTTCCTTCCTCCATGTATTTGAACTTTAAAGTCACTCTGATAAAATAAGAGTCATATAAAAGGCTCTTCATACCCTTTAAGATCTATGTTTCCACTGCCCGAGGGCACATTTAAAACTCTGTTGTGGGGGGATCTTGATGAGGTGTCCAATTTCGGCAACCTTGTGGATAGCTAGGCTTGCACCTACCATTACCCTGACACATCCCAACCGGCCTACCTGAACTGTGGTGTGACGCCCCAGCTGGAATGATGATATCAGTTCGCAGACTCTGTCTATAGATATCCTCACCGAGATTCACACGGCCCTTATGGAGGTTGTGATTAGGATTCCCCTGCTATTTACCCATACTATTATGCATTGCTCCCTGTTGCTTAGGGCCACTGTGATACATCCTAATTGTTGTCTTGGAATATTTACAGTTGGAATCGTCTAATCCAAATAGCAATGGCACTTTCATTCTGAAAAATCAGTAATTTTCTGCACTTGCCGAGGATCAATGATAAATATTTCCAAAATAGTTAAATGATTGGCCAATCTTTCTTATACACATCACACCCTATCTGCCTGCTGTGTGTGGCGGCAGAGAGGACCTGGAAGGGTTACACCGCTGTTAACCATTGATTCCGTTTTTTTTCTGCTGCATTGTGTCAGCCAATATCAGGAGCCAGCTGAATCTGTCCAGCTCCCTTTGATTGCTCCTCTCACTGGAGGACCTGGCTAACAGAGACGGAGCTAGGGACTTATCATCTCTCAGTACTTTGCATTTATTTCTGTGTGCCACCCATCTCAGCCCATCACAATCAATCAAAAACTCAATTCCCTGCATTACTGTTCCTATTAGCTAGGCTGATTGGCTTCTGAGCCTCAGGCTTCCAGCTGTAATAAACCTTCATCTGCTCTCACAAAGAAAGGGCAAGAGAAGCACTCTAAAGAGCCAGGGTTGGAAGTTTTGGGGTGTCAGGGGGGAGATGTAATGTGGACAATGGGTGTGTACAGTGGGCTAGAATGAAGATTATAGTAGGTGGAGGGCTAAAAAGTAGATAATTTATAAGAAGGAGCATTGTATTGGAAACATGTTAGTGCACTAATTTTTCTCTGTGCAGAAAAAAGGATGGCGTTTTTTGGTGTTAAGAGGTGGAGAGCAGGGTTGTTCACTGAGCGGTGCTGGGGAGATCGGGATGTATGCCAGGGCTGTGCAGGAGATGTTAAAGGATACTCTGGGGTTATAGAGTTCCTCTAGTGAGCACTGGATGCAGGAAGTTAGGGTCCATACATTATGGCTATAGGATGAGCAGGGTGTGCATTGGGATGTTAGCTAAGAGAGAGTGCACAAGGGTTATTGGCTGAGCTGAGAGCACACTGATATTATTATTATTAGCATTTGTATAGTGACTACACATAAACTGTAGCATTGGGGTTATTTGGTGAGCAGGGAGTGCATGCTTGTTATTGGGTAAACAGGGATGGGGAGTGCATTGGGAATATAGGGTGAGCAGGACAGGAATACATTGGGAATATAGGGTAAGCAGGACTGGAATACATTGGGAATATAGGGTGAGCAGGACAGGGAATACATTGGAAATATAGGGTGAGCAGGACAGGAATACATTGTGAATATAGAGTGAGCAGGACATGAATACATTGGTATTATAGAGTGAGCAGGACAGGAATACATTGGGAATATAGAGTGAGCAGGACAGGAATACATTGGGATTATAGAGTGAGCAGGACAGGAATACATTGGGATTATAGAGTGAGCAAGACAGGAATACATTGGGATTATAGAGTGAGCAGGACAGGAATACATTGGGATTATAGAGTGAGCAGGACAGGAATACATTGGGAATATAGAGTGAGCAGGACAGGAATACATTGGGAATATAGAGTGAGCAGGACAGGAATACATTGGGATTATAGAGTGAGCAGGACAGGAATACATTGGGAATATAGAGTGAGCAGGACAGGAATACATTGGGAATATAGAGTGAGCAGGACAGGAATACATTGGGAATATAGAGTGAGCAGGACAGGAATACATTGGGAATATAGAGTGAGCAGGACAGGGATACATTGGGATTATAGAGTGAGCAGGACAGGAATACATTGGGATTATAGAGTGAGCAGGACAGGAATACATTGGGATTATAGAGTGAGCAGGACAGGGGGTACATTTGGATTATAGGGTGAGCAGGAGATGGAGAACATTTGGATTATAGAATGAGCAGGACAGGGATTGCATTGGGATTATAGTTTAAACTGGACAGGGAGTGTATTGAGATTAAAGGGCGAGCAAGGATGGGGAGTGCATTGGGTTTATATATTGAGCAGGAGAGGGAGTCTGTTGTGGATTACATGGTCAGCATGGAGTATATTAGGGTTATGGAGTGTGCAAACTGGTCAGAGTTATTCATTCTAGTTCTAGGACAAGAAGGTAATGGGTTCTGCAGGGCAGTCAGAGTTATTCACTCTGGTTTTGCACTGGTATAATCTGAGGTCATTCATACAGCATTCATGCACAAAGCATGGGTCTAGCTGAGGTTATACAGTGACCATGGAGTACCTTTGACTTGTATAGTGTTTAGGAGTGACTGACCCGCTGGGATTATTGAATGTGAATGATAAATCCGTGTTATGGAAATTTATGAAAATTTACTACCAGCCCTTAGAGGTGGCCATGCTTAACAATATATAGAGTAAGAGAATAAACCATAAGATAGACAAATTCAAGGGAAACCAGAGATCAGATAAGCAGTTAAGCAGAGTTACGGTAGTTCTAGTAAGCCAGAGATCAGAATAGTCAAATGAAAAGCCGTGTCAGAATAGCAAGAAAGCAAACAGTCTATAACACACTACTGGGACCAAACATGAATCACAACAGGGCAAAGAGCATGGATTGAGCTGGAATATATCAGAAGTCCTCCATCATTTCTGTGCACCAAGAACATGTTGACACAAGATACTTGACTTATGACTAGAACTTTATAAAAGGGAATGCCATGGGAATAGAACATTCAGTGTCATAAATTACATCATGATGTGGGTCAGTATGGACATGAGGAAGATGCATGGCATCAGTATTAATGTAAGGAGGATACATGGCGTCAGTATTGATGTGAGGAGGATACATGGCATCAGTATTGAAGTGAGGAGGATACATAACATCAGTATTGATGTGAGGAGGAAGCATGGCGTCAGTATTGATGTGTGGAAGATACATGGCGTCAGTATTGATGTGAGGAGGATACATGGCGTCAGTATTGATGTGAGGAAGATACATGGCGTCAGTATTGATGTGAGGAGGATGCATGGCGTCAGTATTGATGCGTGGAAGACTACGGTGTCAGCATTGATGGGAAGACAGGCTACGATCAGGCATTGATGGTGGAAGATACACGGCATCAGCATTGATGTGTGGGAAAGATACATGGACGCCAGTATTGATGGAGGAGGATACATGGCGCCAGCATTGATGAGGAGGATACGGCATCAGTATTGATGAGGGAAGATACATGGCATCAGTATTGATGCGGGAAGATACGACGTCAGCATTGAGGAGGAGGATTACATTGGCAATCAGCATTGATGAGGAGGATACATGCATCAGCATTGATGAGGAGGATACATGGCCAGTATTGATGTGAGGAAGATGTACATGAACACAGTATTGATGTGAGGAGGACAGCTACATGCATGGCCAGTATTGATGTGAGGAGGATACATGGCGTCAAAAGCTTATGTGTGGAGGAGGATACATGGCGTCAGTATTGATGTAAGGAGGATACATGGCATTAGTATTGATGTGTGGAAGATACATGGCGTCAGTATTGATGTGAGGAGGAAGCATGGCGTCAGTATTGATGTGAGGAAGATACATGGCGTCAGTATTGATCTGAGGAGGAAGCATGGCGTCAGTATTGATGTGAGGAAGATACATGGCGTCAGTATTGATGTGAGGAGGAAGCATGGCGTCAGTATTGATGTGAGGAGGAAGCATGGCGTCAGTATTGATGTGAGGAAGATACATGATGTCATTATTGATGTAAGGAAGATACATGGTGTCAGTATTGATGTGAGGAAGATGCATTGTGTCATTATTGATGTGAGGAGGAAGCATGGCGTCAGTTTTGATGTGAGGAAGATACATGGCGTCAGTATTGTTTTGAGGAGGATACATGGCGTCAGTATTGATGTGAGGAGGATACATGGCGGCCAGTATTGGATGTGAGGAAGATGCATGGCGTCAGTATTGATGTGAGGAAGATGCATGGCGTCAGTATTGATGTAAGGAGGAAGCATGGCGTCAGTATTGATGTGAGGAAGATGCATGGCGTCAGTATTGATGTGAGGAAGATGCATGGCGTCAGTATTGATGTAAGGAGGAAGCATGGCGTCAGTATTGATGTGAGGAAGATGCATGGCGTCAGTATTGATGTGAGGAAGATGCATGGCGTCAGTATTGATGTAAGGAGGAAGCATGGCGTCAGTATTGATGTGAGGAAGATACATGGCGTCAGTTTTGATGTGAGGAAGATACATGGCGTCAGTATTGTTTTGAGGAGGATACATGGCGTCAGTATTGATGTGAGGAGGATACATGGCGTCCGTATTGATGTGAGGAAGATGCATGGCGTCAGTATTGATGTAAGGAGGAAGCATGGCGTCAGTATTGATGTGAGGAAGATACATGGCGTCAGTATTGATGTGAGGAGGATACATGGCGTCACTATTGATGTGAGGAAGATACATGGCGTCAGTATTGATGTGAGGAGGATACATGGCATCAGTATTGATGTGAGGAGGATACATGGTGTCAGTATTGATGTGAGGAGAATACATGGCGTCAGTATTGATGTGAGGAGGATGCATGGTGTCAGTATAGGTACAGGAATGATTGATGCATGCTCAGTAGCATGCTGCGGCCATAGATTGGTAACCTTACACTCCGGTGTAGCGTGTGCTGTAGGATGGTGTTGGGTGCAGGTAGAGCAAGGGGTGTAACAGTTATATGGGATTGCAAGAGGACTAAAGATTTGCTTTATGTGGTACACTGGGGTTATTAGAGAAGATGCAGTGAAAAGTGAGGGTTGAACCTAAATTGGTATATAGATAGCGTGAAGTGCGTTCTTGGATATGTACAATTTGAATATGGGTACAACTGTGCTGATCCCAGATCTGTTTGCCATCTGTTCAAAATATTATGTCCCTCACACGGATAAGAGACTGCTAATGTTAGCACTTTATTATATTTCAAGGTAATCTTGTTCTTTTGCTTGGTTGCCATGTCAGGGCAGATACAGGTCACAAAATGTGGACTTGTGTGAGAGAGAGTGCACAATCTGAGAATACAGAACTCTCCCTCTGAGCTGAAACCACATTTCGTCCCGTCCCTCAAATTCTACATACGCAAAGAACAATCACCATAACAAGACACAAAATCGATAAACTGAGCAAAAAGAATAAATCCATAAGAGTGGCTTAATTCCTGATTTAACCCCTTAAGGATCAAATTTCTGGAATAAAAGGAAATCATGACATGTCACACATGTCATGTGTCCTTAAGGGGTTAAACTCCATTGACATTCAGACTTCCTAGATCCATGTAGCAACGTTTTGTCACCTGGCCTTTCTATAATTTTGTTCCTATAAAAATCTTGATGCTTGTCTTCTCATTTACCACTGGACAGACATCTTTTTCAAGAGTTGTGGAAATAAATTCATACTTTGGCAGGTCTTTCTTTTTCTAGCCTAAGGAAGATATTTTTCCCGATGAAAAGTTTTGATTTGGTAGCTTTTGTTGTTAAATGTTTAGTTATAACTCTGCCCTGTCTCACTCTAGTTGTACAAGATGTAGTCAAACCAAGCCACATTCCAAAGGTCTTTGTGAGTATTCCATAAAGTCTATTTGCTTTGAGATACATCTCTATCGCAAACTTTTGCAGATCGAAGTTGATCCCCATGACTCTTGCTCTCGACTCAACACTTAAAAAAAGTAATTATTTTTCTGATCTGATCAATTTATTGAGAGCCTCTACTTTTTTATATATATATATATATATATATATATATTTTTTTTTTTTATTTTTTTTATTTATTTTTTTAACCCCACACTTCCTTATCCCCTCAAAAACACCTTCTGATGTCCAGAGTTGTAGTTTGGTATAATAAAATACTCTGAGCTTGAGTCCATATCAAAATTGTGACTTTCCTATCTCTCCCCTTTTGCTCTCCCTCCTTTCTGCTTTTCCTCTCTTCCCTGCTATTGCTGTCTTAACTTTAATGTATTCTTACCCTCATTTTCAATGTTACCTGCCATTGTCTTTCCAATTCCTCGCTCTACCATTTCATCTCCATGTTCTCCCCATTGGTCTCTCACCTCATGTAACCTGTTCTCCCCACCTCTCCTCCATGTTCTCTACCTCTTTGTTCCACTTGCTTTCTACCACTCGCTGTCCCTCTTCTTCCTTTTTCTATCCACATCTCGTTCTTGCACTCTCTTCTTTTCACAGCATTTAGTCTCCCTTTAAACTCTCTTCTTGTTCCCCGGCCTTCTTCTACATTCTTTCTTCACACTTTTTTCTTTGGCCCTCTTATCCTTGTTTTCTCCTCCGTATTTAGTTATTTTTCTAAATTCCTTTGAGTTTTCTCCCCCTTTTTATTATTCCATACTACTGTTCTAATATTTTCTGACCTGTCTTTTATTTATTTATTTTGATCCCCTTTGTTCTATTTTTTTTATTGCCTTTGTTTTATGCACATACACGCTAGCATGATGCCTATACACGTACAAGGTTAATTACAAAAGTGAATTTCGAATGTAAGGCCAGAGTATCTGAAGGGAAAGCATAGATTTCCTAGAGATTTCTTTCCAGTTCAGCTGTTTTGACTCTAATTTTGAAACTCACTTTGAATTAACCTGAAATTCTCACTTTAGTGAATAAGCTTAATAGATACATGCACCCTCTCTTTCCTGTGTAAATACGCATGCACACTCTGCCTCTGAAACACACCTCAATACCAGGACTGGATCTCCGTGATCAACTGTGCTCCTGCGTGCATGGTCAGCATGTTTCCTTACTGGCGCCCTCTGTCCCACCAAATCAGGCATTCACTTTTACTTTAGCACCAGTTTTGCATACATGTGCCATTTTCTATTTTTTTATATATATTAAATAATTATTGCACCCTGTGTACACTGATGATTTTTCTTCCGTAGTGCACCAAAATTATAGCGTTTTTTTCTGTCGCTTTTTCGTCATCTTTCAGATTTTTTTATCCTTTTTTTCCTGATGATTTTATTATTGATTACATTCAAGATAAATGAGTGACTTTACTACGGTGGGAGGAAAATGCATTTGCAAAGTTTAGGATTTTTTTTATACGTTAATCAAAAAAGAATGTGAAAGCTTCTAACCTATCTCAGAAAGCTCGCCAAATTGTAGTCTGAAATGGCGTCGTTTTGCACCTCTTGTTTTAATACGTTAAAGATGACGATTCCGTAAACCAAAAAAAACCTGCCCCATTGATTGAGAAAATGAAACGAATGAAGAGGCGAAGTAAGGAATATTTTTGCTCAAATAAGGGAACGAATGGTTCAAATAGGGATAGCTCCAGAAAAAGTGAACACAACACTTTTTATACAAAACCACATCTTTATAAACAACAAACGTGTAGTATGCACAAAAGCTCTTAAATAATCAGACACAAATTATCAGCTCAAATACACTCGTATGGGGTTAACTCTCATGAAGGTTCTGATTCATGTGAGCTCTCTTAGTTATTTGATTACACCTCACTTGTGGACATTATACCATCTACATTATATTTTCTCTATTATATCTTATTTTTTCACATATGCTGCTCTCCTCCTTATGTATTACTGTAATTAAAGAGTAAGATACCCTATATTCAGTGCTCCACTAGTTATAGAGATTTTCACTTATATGTACAATATCCACATCTGTGCCTGGAGAGATCCAGAGCTTTAGCAACACCCATGTTGGTACCAATGTTGGGAGAAACTTTATGGTAGCATATAGGGCAGGATGACATGGACAATACGGGCAGAGAAAAGGACCAAAACCTGCAAGGTGCTTTTTTAATAGGTTTTAGTCCGTCCATTTGCGTCTGTAATGATCTACCAAACATTAAAATCGGAGTACACATGCCTGTAGTATTGTGAGGTGTTCTTTTGTAGAGCAGTAAAAACTTGTGGATGTTTCTGTCAATATTTATAAGCACATAATGCTTTTTTTAATGTAGCCATAAACCTTTCAGCTTGTCCATTAGAAGCTAGATGGTAAGGTGCACATGTTTTATGTATGATTCCATGTTTGGTAAAGCGAGCTTTTAATTCCCCTGAAGAAATTGTGCCCGTTTTCCAGTACCAGTTCCTAAAGACCAACCGAAGTAGATGTGTGTCTGCAGTAGATGTGGGAGCCTTTTATGACTTCCTACTTATTTCATAGCATTTTGAATGAGTATCAATAACTAGCTTTTTCATTTTGCCTTTGCCCTGTAAAGACAATATGTAGATTTGCCACAGAAACTTTGACCAGTCCCTTGGTACGATACTTCTTGACATTTATTTTTGCCCACTAGGTGCTAGCATTTGTGTACAAAGCTTATGGTATTTAAAACAGCACTGTCACAAAAAGAAACAACAATGAAATTGCCACTGGGGGTCTGGTGGCCGGGTAGCGCATTTTGGTCAGAAGCCCCTAGTAGATGTCTGTCTGACAGTCACTAGTAGGAGTGGTAAATATATATTGTACATGTACAAAAAAAACCTGCGCTCAAACTCTTAACTACTCTTGGACGGCAGCAACGACCATAGTACACATTAACCCCAATACATACAGTAAAAACCAAAGAAAAAGAGTTACCTGCGCTCTTTCACAAAGTCCTATGTATATTTAAACAAATGGAGGTTATTTAGTTACTCCAATGGCCATTGGAGGGAATGCCCACCTGCCACATCCCTCTTAGGTGGGTCCTACACTGACTATTCAGCCTGCTTCCTTGAGTTCCTGGCAAAGATATCTCTAATGAGACAGAGGGGGTATTTTTTATATACACCCCTACATACTTATTAACCCTTAATAGGGAACACATGGGCTGGGTGGCAGCATTGTAACAAATCTGTGTGATACAAACACAAAAAAACAAGTCCTGAGCTCAATCTCCCACTTTACCAAGAGTTTTTTT